CTTCCAACTGTAAATTTTCACATTCATCGCCAAATGAATCATCGCAATTGATTAGTTCTTCACTCTCTTCGGATTAAGTGCTATCTATCACTTCGTTTATTTTTTTTCTGCTTTGGTGCTGAGCCGCTTACCTTATTTAAATTGACTTTAATTCGTTTATTATGCTGAGGTGTCATTTTTTTTGTTGTTGCCTGCAGATTTAACTGATCCAAGTCAGGTGTGTTAGTTAAAATTGAACTCTTTTTAGTTTTCCTTGCCTTCACACCTTTTCTCTTTACTGCTTTTAAAAATCCTTTAAACTCACGAGGGGAGATGAAAGAACTTGAATTCGCAGATGATACTACTGACTTAGAGTTTTGAGACATTATCGACATTTCAGATGTCCTTGGTGGGAATACTTCTTGATTTTCAGGTGTCTTCGATGAGGATGATATAACTTGATTGGAAAGCACACTAGATATTTCTGTCGAGTCTGGTTGTGAATTTTCTGTTTAGTTTCATTTAGTCTATCAGTCTTAGAACTGCAAATGAAGTCAGCTTCAGAAAAAATGTCTCTATTAAGGGGAAAAATTCCCATTTTATTAAAACCTGACAAAATATTAGTAGGTGTTAATGCTTTCATGTCTTTTTTTTTGAACTCTCAAAAACATTACGTCATAAACGTAAGAGTTGCTATAGAGAAATTAAAATATCTTGGTTTTAGAGATCAGTTCTTATTATGACTCATTGTTTAATGATTAAACTTGAAAGTCGCTGGTTTAAATTACATTGAATAAATAATTATAACGAAAAAATGTGATATTGTTGATACATAAAATTGGTGAAAATAGCAATTATAAATTGTAAAAGTAGAAATAAATTAGAAATAAACTGGTTTACTCATTATCAATGTTTTATACAAGAATTATGGACTTACCCTTTGGTTCTATTGAGGTATTCGTAACAAGCTGTAGAGTTGGCCGGTGGTACCGACGCCCGGGACGCGGGAAGAACCGTCTGGAACTTGATGCGTGTCGATCGATCGATGTCTGACGAAGAAGTGGCAATTCAGAATGCGTTAATATGGGCAGAGTTAAGAATCAAGCCCCTCTAAGCGGTGGTCCCAGAGGGTGTACCAATAAATCATTCCATTGTATTGCGATTCTTCCGATAATTTTAACTAATTGTGACGGTAACACGAAACCTTTGTGTGTATATTTTGGACCATACAAAAGAGAAGCCAAATTCTTCGTATTCACAACATCATAAATGAGATATCCAGTTTAAGTTTTATGAGACAACAGGAAACAATATATTTCAAAAGGTCTTTTAAAATACAGCACCAAATTAGGTCATATTACAGTACCGTAACAGAAAAAATATTAATTGTAAAAATATAAAATTAATGCGCAAATACTTTCTCAAACACTCATCTTATTTACATTCTAGGAAGATCCTCAATAAACTTAGTGACACAGATTCAGATTATGGTGATATTGATATTGGGGTTTGTATTGGAGTTAACGGAACCATTGGAGTCCAGTTATTTTATCTTTGATACACTTCTCTAAAGCTCGAATATTGTTTTTAATTGCCATATCATATGCGTCCTTTTGTGCTTAAATAGTTGTTAATCTGTAGCTCATTTTGCTACAAGTTTTGATGTAGTCACACAGAGAAATTTCTTGTTCCTCTGAAAGCACAAATCGTACAGCATAATTGGGTTCCATTTGATCATTATCTGGATTAGTACGTTTTTTTGCGACATATCTTTGTAATGTCTCAAATTTTACTCCACGTCGCTCAACTCCTTGGTTTTTCCTTGCGCACCATGTCTGTAACAAACATAATAAAATCCACAAGGAATCTACGTTCCTGTAGTTGGCTGTATACCATATATTAAAAAAAAATATTTAAGTCTTTTGTAAAAGGTATATATTTTTAATGTTTATATACAAAAAGTAGCGAAGACATGGTTATTTATGCATTGGGAGATGAATCAAATATCCAGCTTCACATAACTTCGCTATACCTTTAAGAAAGGATTTTAATAAATTTTTTTAAACATAATAAACTTTAATTCTACTTATACAACATATCACTATAGCATAAATGCTTAATACAAATTCTAGTAGTACACAATGGGAGAATCTCATTGTATACTAGTATCACCTAGTATCTCATCGTGTGCCAAGTAGCATTGTTGTAAACAAATGCAAATAATCATACTTGATTTTTAGTTTTGAGACACGACTATTTGAGCTTAGACTAACTTAACTGTGGTATTTCACGCATATACTTTCAAATTGACATAAATCAACATTAGTAGTTTAGTACCAGAACGTTAGTTCTAGTAATAAGTAAACAACACTGTATAAAAAGTAACTTCTTACCTTAATTAAACAGTTTATCACTGTAACTTTTACGAGGTCACGAATAGAATGGTGGTGTTTTGACTGACGATGTAAAATGACATTTCTGAGATAATGTTGTTTACAGAATTGAAACTTGGCGGTAAATTTAAAACAAAATTAGAATGTCTTATTTTGTACCATGTCTCATTGTGTACTATTTTTTCCTAATTTGGAGTTTTTGCATTTTTGCCTCCATGTACCAATTTGAAGCAACGTCTTATGTATTTTTACAATCAGCTCAGCATGAAAAATCTATAATTAAAAAAGGGGGTTTTATTTAAAAAATAGTGATGACGTCATCGTACGAAGGTATTTCACCCTGTATATTAGATTATAATTTTAAAAACAGTAAATCAAAATCAAAAATCGACCTGTTTCCGGAATTTCTAAAAAGGGGATTCCATTTAAAAACATAGTAATGACGTCATCATACGAAAGTATTTCACCCTGTATATTAGATTCTAATTAAAAAAAATAGTAAATCAAAATCAAAAATCGACCTGCTTTCGGAATTTCTAATAATGTTGTTTATTGAGCTAATAATATATTTATGGACACACTGTATAATTGTTTAGTTAAAATTATACTTAAAATGCACGAAATTAAAAAAATTTCCTTCAGTTAGAATTTAAATTAATAATTTGACAAAAATATATCGCAGTATTTTTTGACATAAATAGAGCATACGATACAGTTTGGCGATATGGTATTATTCAAACACTTAGTCGATGGGAAATAAAAAATATAGCACAATTTATAAAAAATTTCCTATCTCATCAATTTTTTAATGTACGAGCTAACGGTACTTTACCTAATACAAAAATTTTCTCTAAGCGTCTCCCTATTACTCCAATAAATAATATTATCTTCACTTGTGATTCACCAGTAAAAACTAGACTCTTTGCAGATGACTTACTCATTTTTGTTAAGGGGATAAATGATAAAACCCTTTAGAACCAACTACAGAAAGTGCTATGGAATCTCGAATTATGGACAATTTCCACAGGTCTTTAATTATCAACAACAAAATCAAAGGGTATGTTATTAAATAAATAAAAAAGAAGTTGTGTCACTCCAGAATTAAAACTATTTAATAAAGAAATAAAATATGTTGAGAAAATTAAATGTCTAGGCATGAAATTTAACAACAGATTATCCTGGAAACACCACATTCATGATCTAAAAAGTACGTGTTAATCTGCACTTAATATTATTAAAACTATTGCACATAACACGTGGGGAGCAGATAGTAAAACACTGATACTTATGTACAAGTCATTGATCAGGTCCAAACTCTTTTACGCTTGTATTATTTATGATTCAGCAAAACCATATATTATAAAACAACTCGATCGAATACAAAATAGTGCTTTGCGAACCATACTAGGTGCCTTTTATACTAGCCCTACTGAATGTTTACACTGTGAAGCTGGAGAATTCCCCCTGGAATTCCAAAGAAAACAACTTTCACTAACATATGCGGCATCAATACAGGCAAATCCTATGAATTCTGTTAACCACTATATAAATTCAGACCGTTTTAAAAATATTTTTAAAACACATCCCAGGCTAGACCTTCCTTTTTATGAAAGAGTAAATAGATACCTTAATGAACTTGAATTCAAATTTCCAGATACCTATTGTATACCAGAGATGTCCTCCAAGAACTTAAGACCTGCAGTAACCATAATCTTATATATATACCGATGCCTCTAAAACTATAGATGGAGTGAAGCAGCATTTATGTCTAATAAAACAAAAATGTTAACGAAACTCCCTAAATTTACATCTATTTACACAGATCAGTTAACCGCTATTCTAAGTGCGATAAGTTTTGTAACAGAAAATAGTATCAAAACCCTATCATTATTATGGATTCCCTAAGTTTTGTAATTGTCCTAAATAACTTATATCCTAGCCATCCAAGTCTACTACTTATTAAATTAGCATTAAGCCAACTGCAAACTATGAACATAAATGTCAACTTTGTATGGATTCCTATTCATATCGGAGTTGCTGGTAATGAAGAAGTAGATTCGTGGTCAAAACTAGCAATCTCTAGTCCGGAAGCTGTAGAAATCAGAAGCATTCCACATCTAGATATATGAAACCTATAATCAAGAACTTAATAATCCATGATTGGCAGACCAAGTGGAATCAGTTAACATCCAAACTACGAGAAGTAAAACATTCTTTATTACCTTGTATATCAACCCAAAATAAGCGTATACATCAAACCATCCTATCTCGTCTGAGAATAGGCCACACCGCCCAGTGTTCGCCATATTTTGCCGGAGTGTCCTTTATATTGCATGGAGAAACTTCAATATAATTTACAAGATATCTTAGGGGCAATATTAAGTGATGGATCTGATATGGAAAATTTGACATCATACTTATATTCCATAAATATATTAAATCCATTGTAAAACTTTAAATTGTACAACGCCAATGACCCTATGAGTTTAAGGCATAACTTAATAAAAAAAAAATAATAATTTAAAACGAAACATCTCATTTATCAATATCAAATTCTTCATTTAATATTTTCTTAACCTTCTCTCAGGCTTTTCGATGTTTGTTAATTTAAATGTGTTTTTTTTTTAGTGGAAGACTTGGTCAAGCAATGGGCTCCATTGATATGGCTGGCACCTGAAGAGAGATACTTTCCACAAAGTGCTGAAGATTTTTTAAAGAATGTCTACGTTGGTGATAGTGGTGGGAAGAGGGTTATGCCCTATCTAGATGAAAAGATTTCAAGATACAAATCAAATGACTTTAACCTTATGCCATATAGGTCGTTAGGTGAGTATATTTTTATTATTTTTAAAACTTAATAAAATTTTGTTCAACTTTTAATTATACATTAGTTAGTGATATACAAGGAGGTTAAGTATGAATAAAACTGTCAAATTTAAAACACGTGTTGTGATTGTATTGATTTTTGTATCTTCCTCTTTTGCTTCTTCTTGGAATTTAAATGTAGTCATTATTTACATAAGTGATTATTTAACCTATTTTCTGTCATTTTGGCCTCAATTGATATCACACTAGCTGTTTTTTTAAATAAATTTGTAGTTAAAATTATTATTCTTTGTTTTTTTCGTTTCACTCATGTATTTAAGCATTCTTAATCTGTCGGTCAGATAGCCAAGCGGGCTAGGCGGCCGATTCTCATTCTCTTCACTGCAAATGTGGATATGAGTTCGAACCCCAGCTCGGTGTACAAAAAAATAAAAAGGCTAACGCAGCAGTTTTAAATTCTAGATGAATCTGCGGCTTAGACTAGAATATGCTGGTGTCTGATCGGCCTATGGTGGAGCAGTACAGCAAGCGATAACGGCTTGCGGCTTGGTGATATTCCTTCATAGATCCCTACCGGAAATACCGGAAATAAATATATATATATATATATATATATATATATATATATATATAATATATCCGACATATAATATATATAACACCGCAAAAAAATCGCAACCATATTACCATCGGCAAAAACAAAAGTTGCATTGGAAAATCAAGGTGTATACAGAATCCCGTGTGAGGACTGCGATAAATCGTATATCGGACAGACAAATCGAAGGATACAAGTTAGACGCGAAGAACATCGAAACGCCATCGAAAGAAAACAGAAAAATTCATCTCTAGCACAACATGCCATCAACACAGGACACAAAATCGACTTAAATGTCACAATGCTAGCCAATATCGAAAATAAGGCCAAACGTGTAATCAGGGAAGCCATAGAGATCGAAAAACATCCAAAAAATTTAAATACCAGCGACGATGCCCAAAGACTCCCAAATACGGGGAAATCAATTCTGCAGAAAAACGTAGAAATTAAAATAGCGAAGAAGACCCCGCCCACTCTGCGCACAGGACCAATCACAAGAAGCGCTTCAAGGTATTTAAACTTAGCAGCGACCGAGAAATCATTTCTCCTGAAACATCAAGACGAAGCAGAACTAATCTGACTTGACAATGGCAAGTGTGACCTTGCCGAAACGTCGTCAAAACAATGGTTTTTCTAAAAACCAAAATTACTTAACGCGGAGTCAAACCCGGAAAACAACTGAAATCACATATAGCTCCCGCGGAAACTTCAAATCCAATATATATATATATATATATATATATATATATATATATATATATATATATATATATATATATATATACATATATGCTTATATATATAAATATATGCTTATATATATATATATATATATATTATATATATATATATATATATATAATATATATATATATATATATATAAGCATTCTCATTTCTTTATCCAACACTTATTGCCGTACATCATAGCTAGTTTTGACAGTTTTATAAAATTTATCTTTTATAAAAGATCTCTATAAAAGTATTACTGAAATATTTCTATTACTTTTTAAAAACTACATCATACCAATACTTTTTCAAATTTACCATTATTTTTATAGCAGTAATCTACATACATACATTTGACGTTTGACATTTGACATCGTTCATCGTTTATCCTTTATTCAGAGAATGATTACATCTTTTTAGTCCCTATTTAAAGTATCTTTTAATATATTCTACCAATACTAAATCATCAGCATACATTAAGCACTATGGAACAAAGTTCGCCTTTGGAGGTTTAAGACTAATGAGAATAAATAGAATTCAGGCCTAAGGAAAAGCATTCAGATATAATTTATCAGTCTTGTTCAAACCTGGTTTAACACTAGCTTTTCTCGATCATACATATCTCTTACAAGAGAGATTCCATAATTTTTAAGTGCCTACCCTTGAAACCTATCGATGTACCATATCGTATATTTTTTAAAGACATTTCAGGCAGAATTTGTCGAACGGCAGACCATAATGTTAATTTTTTATAGGAGTCTATTTTTTGCTAAAATCACTTCATAATCTACCTTGCATCAATAATTACGATATGCGCCAGTCTCGTACCTTGTGCTTAATTTTTTATTTAAGAAAATCTGAAAAAAATTAAAATTTTTTGCTTTTGCGCCAATATTTTTGTCTATAATCCAGGATATATTGTGCGGTACTCTTACTCGATCTCCTCGATGACCTCAGGGTTCATACCTTCTCTGCCCCTTGGTCTCATTAACCTTGATGTTTGCCTTCTACCAGTATGCCATCCTGTTAACATCTCAGCACGCTATCCTCCTTCCTTCCATGGCTTCTTCAAACTCTCTCAGGTTTTTCACCGACGGTAATTGGGCCTGCATCATCATGCTCTATATTTAATCTGCTCCTCGTATACTTTCCAGTCATTGCCATCGCCGCATCTGCCCCTGACGTTCCGGACGCACGGACTGCGTTAGTGGTCCCCTTTCCGGTTATCAACAATTCGATGTACCTATGTTTCGTTCCGGTGTAGTCTGGCAAAACCTTCTAGCCTCTTGCTTTTTTGTGTCGCCATGGTCACGTCGGTAAACATATCCGTACCTTTCCTAACAAACGTAGGCTCTAGAGCTGTATTCATTACAGCCAGGTCAAGACTATCCATCCAGTTACTCAGTACCCTGCCGCAAGTGTCGGTGATGGGAAATTTCTAATCCGCTGCTTTTGCGTTTAACTCTCCCAGCACCATGTATTATCCTCCTGTGTTTGCCACTTCCTGCATGATCTCGTCCATTTTCATCTCTTGCTTGCCCATTGTCACGTTTGGAGAAATATAATAGCAGACAAGCCGCACTCCTTTCATCCAAACAACCACATATCATTTTTTTGCCTTAATTTCATATACTCGCAGCTTCCCATTGTAGATTCTTACAGCAGCCTTTTCCGTCGTATCCACAAACCATCCTCTTCTTCTTATTGCTGTTGGATTTGGCTCCGCCGTCACCAGCACATCGATGTTCTTTTCTACTGCGGCAGCCTAGGCAAGATCATGTGCTAATCGAATTTTGTTTCCTGTGTTTGCTTCTACGAAAGTAGAAGCAAACACAGGAAACAAAATTCGAAGTCCTGTGTGTTTGCGCGAAAGAAGTCCAAGTCTAATTTCTAAGACTTAGACTTCTTTCGCGCTCTGTTTCGTAATTTTTCCATTTGCGTTCTTTTCTTGGGAATAGTCCTCAGTGATTACTGCTTTCAACCAGTAAGTTAAACTTTGGGTATATTCTTGTATTTGCCACATGCCCTATCACGTCCCAGTTGAGCCATCTGGTTGTTTCTCTCTTGCATTCCATCGGTATGTGACCCTCTTTACCACATCGGAATCAGCATCCTCTTCTGCTCTGCCTTCTCAAACAGAAATTAGAGGGTTTTAGATTTCATTTTTAACAATGTTTACCCTTTTGAATTATTGTTAAATCTACAGGGAATTACATACATAGTCAATATGTATTTCGTCAGCTATATTTCACTCAAAATCTTAATCATATAATACAATTTAGTTACATTTACCATAATAAACATTGATTTGCCAGAATAATTCGTGACAGCCGAAAAAAAAATTTTCCTGTCCTATCGTGGGCTTCCAATGAAACTATCCTTTTGATCATACGGTGGAGCTGCTTCTAACAGCCTTTTTAAGAGACTTTAAATATTAGACATTCTAAACAACACTGAAAAATAACAATTTAAATTATTTCGCCACAGAACTTAAAATATTATTAATAATACGTCCTAATTTACTTTGTATTCTAGAATCTCTACAAAACGATACCACATCATTCATCTTTGGAAATCCGGATTTAAATAACGTTTCCATATACGCCGTGGTAAGCCATTGTGCAACATCCCTCAAAAGATTTGAAAATGAAGTTTTGGATAATGGGGATAAACTATATTTCCACGTCAGCTACTGGATTTTTTATCCTTACAACTTGGGGAAAGATATTTGTGTACTAGGTAAGATATTATTTCTGTTTTTATTGGCTTTGCTTGTTCTTATCTATTTATCCACAAGAAATATATAAAGCCATCATAAGAAAATAATTACAGTATTATGTGCAAGTAAAATAACGCGAGTTGGGATTTAAGCCACTTGTAGACAGTTATATACAAGACTAACTTCTTGTATATTCTTTATAATCCAGGATTTGAGGGTAGAGGGTACTATTCCTAATAGAAAATCTCTAAATTTTTCTATATCTATACATCAAGTCATGCCCCACCTCGGGGGTGGAAAAAGTATATAAAAAAACTATAATAGCCGCTAGAATAGTGAATTTTAGGACAAAATTGTTCTTTAGAGTTTTTTCGAAAAGTAAATATTTTGGAATTATTTTTGACTGAAAGTTCACAAATTACGTGTAAAAAACCATCTTTTTAAACAGTTTTACGTGGAAACTCCAAAAATTTAGATATTATCGAGAAAAACTGTTTGGATATAAAATTAAGCACACACAGCATATAAAGAACACTTATAAGTAATTCAGTACAAAATAGGTTTAATTTGGAAGACTCTTCTTCCAAAGACGAAAACGAAAACGAATTTATTATTAGCCAAATTTAGAAAAAAATAACCAAAAAATGTTTGTTATAAATTTTAGGAATGTCCGTTTTACGTGCTAGTAAGTGTATATAGTAAAAAGTTTCTAATAGGGTCGAAAATTTCCGGTATAAACTAGCCAGTTAAGATTAGTAACCAGATCTAAAAATACAACTTATTTTCAAATCAAGAGATTATTTTGTTATGATAACAGATTTTCAAATATCAAATTTGCGACAACTTTAGATTATGTAACCACAAATAAATTATTTGGTTTTTAATTTTTGTAACATCTAATATTGATAAACTATAAAGAAAACCAATGTACGTGATAAGTAATTTGGATAGTATCTATATAATAACTTTTATGGATTTAAAATAACTAAATTTATGCTTTATTTAAGAGCGTAGGCGCAAAATTTCGGGCCAATGCTTTTTAAATGCATTCTTTTTTTTCCAATCCTGAGAAAACTAATAAATATTTTTGAAAAATTTAAACGCAGAATGAAAGAATACAATATTAACGAGTGCCGAAAGTCCCTGAAAACTTCTATAACTTTTATTTTAATAAGTTACAGGGGTGAAAAAAAGAGAAAATTTAGTGTGATTTTTAATTTAAAATATCTCATTCAAAAAACTTTTTGTTTATTTTAAGGGACTTTCGGCCCTCGGTAATAATGTAATCTTTCATTCTTCGTTTAAATTTTTCAAAAATATTTGTTAGTTTTCTCAGGATTCGAAAAAAATGAATGCATCTAAAAAGCATTGGCCAGAAATTTTGCGCCTACGCTCTTAAAATTTAGCGGTTATTATGATGTCATTACGATATAGTCTTAAATTGCTACATCTAACTTTTAGTATAGTTAGCCTCTCGATTAGTTAGCCCTATTTGTGTAGTGTAGCATTAAATCTACAAACTCGACTCCAAACGACAAAGTGTTGACAAGTCATACCATACTAGACATATGTCGTAGTCGTTTAACAGCCTCCAGTTATTTTCATATAGGACCTAACATAATAACGATATATACATATCTTATTCGTAAATATACGTAAAGTTTTGATTTATTACGACATATTATTTCACACAATATTAAATAATTGGATGTTGGATTTTTAAAATGAACTTCTTCTTCTTAGAGTGCCGTCTCCCTACGGAGGTTGGCAATCATAATGGCTATTTTTATTTTAGAACTTGCTGCTCTAAACAAATCAATCGATCTGCATTGGTACCAATCACGTAGATTCTTTAACCATGAGTTCTGCCTTCGGCCAACAGACCTTCTTCCTTGAATCTTTCCCTGTATTATTAGTCTCAAAATTTCATATTTTGGTCCCCTCATCACGTGGCCTAGGTATTCCAGTTTTCTGGTTTGTATAGTGGTGATTAGTTCTGTTTCTTTACCAACCCTCTCCAGTACTTCTTTATTTGTAATTCTATCAGTTCATGATATTTTCAATACTCTGCGGTATAACCAGAGTTCGAAGCCCTCGATTCTTTTTAAATTACACTTTTTTAATGTCCAAGTCTCAGCTTCATATAATAATATAGAAAATATATAACAGCGAATGGTACGTAGTCTGATCTCCAAATTTAGATTTTTGCACGTTAGAAGTGGCTTCATTCGTATAAATGCTGATCTGGCAATCTCTATTCGTCTGTTTATTTCTACAGTATGATCATTGGTTTCATTGATCAAAGTTCCCAAATACTGATATTTTTCTACTTGTTCTATCACGTTACCATTTATTGTCAATAGGTGATGTATATTTTGTGGCCTTTTTGTAATCAGCATGTACTTCGTTTTTTTAGTGTTTATAGTAATTCCCATCTCAGCACTATTTATACTCAAGCTTTCGATAAGATGTAGATCCTCTATACTCGTTGTTATGATCACAGTGTCGTCTGTATATCTTAAATTATTAATTAATTTTCCGTTAACGGTGACTCCCGCTTCGATATTATTGTGCGTGTTTTGGAAAATTTCGTCAGAATATAAGTTAAACAAAAGTGGTGATAACACACATCCCTGTCTAACTCCTCTACAGATCCTCATTTCTTCTGAGTGTTGCCCATCAATTTGAACTATGGCACTTTGGTTCCAATATAATGTTTGCACTATATTTATGATTTTACTGTCAAAATGAACTTGGTTATTGTTTATTTATAACTTGAACACTTATCTGTAAAAGAGTTAAGCTTATTTGTACTTAAATTTGATATTCTAACTAATTATAATTGTGTTAAAGGTAAAGTCCCAGCTTTAAGAATATTCAACACTTGTCTTGGTAATGTAAAGACTATTGGTAACCACGTTGGCGACTGGGAACACATGAGTCTTTCTTTTGTTGGAAAAAACGTACCTGATCAACTATATCTAGCAGCACACACCTCTGGTGCCTTTTATACCTACAACGAGCAGCAGAGGTTAGTCTATTTACATATACTTTAATTTGTATACAAGTTAAATACCTAATTATTTTTGTAATTTTTGTGCCTTCATTACATCATCTCCGAATTTCCTTAATAATATTATATCTACCACGTCAATAGCTTCAAATATAAAGGACCCTCTATTTAATAACACATCTATCTATATAAAACGCTGGAGGGCAAGTCACTCTGTTGGTCCGATAGTGTAATTACGCCATCTAGGAAATAAATTTGAACTACAAACTGACAATTCAACTGCTGAGTCAATCATATTTTGTTCATGAAACGATACGTTTAATTATTAATCCTAATAATAATTACATACATATTAATATTATTAAGAACATGCTTAAATTTCTTAAAAAATTGACAAAAATATTGGTTGCTTCAGTGTTAAAACAGTATTTAATAATAAAAAAATAATCGTAAAATAGTTTCGAAACACAATTCAGATTTCTGCTTTATAATCTGAGCCTTCTAAGAATTGCAAGGCAAACAGACGTTGATAAAAGATGTTAAAAGAGACATGGGGAATCTAAAATTTGCATTCCACGACATGTCTTTTACAACTAAGCAGAAATCCTTACCGAATTGTGCTTCTAGTGCTCACACAGAGTAAATCCGAATAAAATGAGAAAAGGCAGCAAATATTTGATATCACGCAAACAAATCCTATGTATCTCTTGATACGTATTTCGACCTAATAGGTCTCGTCAGAAGAGCTATTCATAGGGGTTTTCAACGTGAAAAATTAATATTTTCTGCCTTTTAAGAAGCAACAATAACATGGCTTCAATACGGACGCACTAGCGACATCTAATTAAACAATCGTAAAATAGTTTCGAAACACAATTCAGATTTCTGCTTTATAATCTGAGGCTTCTAAGAATTGCAAGGCAAACAGACGTTGATAAAAGATGTTAAAAGATGTTAAAAAATAATTTAAAGCTTTATGTTAGTTTAGATTTAAGCACCTAGCGCGACGTAGGAAGGAAAACTGAACTACTAACTGACGGGAATAAACTTATCTGAAAAATACAATGTAAAATATTTATCTATCAAATCAAGTACCACATAAGAAGTTACCTTAAAAATAAATGGTATTTATTGTAGTATGTTCTTATGTTGTAGGTTATAGCGAAATCAAAAATATTGTTGATTATTGCGAGTAAGAGACATGGATCCGGTATTAGATTTAATATAATCGAAGAATTTGATGTTTAATGTTTATAAACTTACTGCGATAATTTATCTCCCTATGGTATGAATTTATTTTATTTTATTTTTTGACAAAATAAAATAAAATTATATTAAATTACTCTTAATAGATGTATGTAGAATTCACCGTTACGCATTTTTTTAAACTATAACTATCTGATTTAAAAAAAAAAAATTGTGCCCACTTGGGAACATTATGTATATATATATATATATATATATATATATATATATATATATATGGTTCTAATAAATTTATACATATATATATATATATATATATATATATATATATATATGTATAAATTTATTAGAACCAATTGTCATACACATTAGTTCGATGTATTGTCAGCAACAAACTATTTTAAATTGTAAAACATCACAAAACAGTTATTACTTTTAGAATGACAGCATAAATGCACCTTACATCTTTCGCACTAAACCCTTGGTTTTCCCTTACAGTTTATCATCTTACATCATTCCCTGTTTACAGTCCAGTTTGGCCAGTGTGAAAATTGATCTGTTTGTACATATATATTGGATCTAGGTTCAATACATCATCTTTCGGATGGTTGTTCGGGTGTGGAACTTCTAGGCCGACCTACTTTTCTTTTTTGTAAAACAACACTGTTAGTAAGTTGTTCAGCTAGAATTGTTGTAGAAATTCAGCAGTTGTATAATATTTTCAGTTTTTTCAATTTGTTTTTGATTCGCCTGTCTAATAGCCAAGCATTGACTACTGATACATCCAGTCTCATATTGTTTTACATCCATTTTGCTTTTGATTTTGATTGGATATAATTCCAACAAGGAATCTTGCAGATCCACACCGCCCATGTGCCTGGTATATTGTTGTACAATGTCTGGGCAATCAATTTCTTGTCCTAGTTCTTTCGGTGCGAAAGAATCTTACCACTTTGGCTGTTGGTTGAATTCCACAATAATATGACAGTAAAAGCACAATTTTGTTGTCACACCACTGGACTGTATATATTGCAGTATTCTTATAAGTACCAGAGTGTTTCTGAATGCTTCTTATTTGTAATTTTTTAATTTCTTTCTTTGGCTAACCTTTATAATTCAGAATTCGATTTGTACGGATTGTTGCGATATAACGTATGCCTCGTTTTGGCAAAAATGACACCAGTGGTATACTTGACAAATAATTATCGTAAAAGAGTTTGTAGTGTTTATTGGACGGCATTTGAAATATGGGATATATGAAAATATAAAAATCCTGAGATTCCTGAGAGAACCCACATCTTGTATTCCCATATATGAGGCTTTTTGGCATTGTACGTCTTCATACTCGAACGTCCTTTGAACGATATAACTTGTTCGTCAGAAGATAAGTGATCTTGTAAAGGTACCTGCAAACCACATGTTTTATTTGTTCAATCAGGTACGAGATTTTAACGACTCCGTGTATTGTCTAAATTATTACTAAAATAAAGAAACCTTTTTATCGTTTCAAAATGATTGATAGACATTACATCTGCATCTGGTAAAATTCTTGTTGTCCGAGCCCAATAGCGTAAATAATATCAAACTTGAGCAAGTTGATAAAATCGTCTACTTTGGACAGCAATTAAATTGTAATGCAGAAAATCACGGCGAAATTAGATCCAGAATAGAGCAGGCTAGAGCTGCTTTTAGAAGGATGTCCAAGGTGTTATGTAACAGAGACCTAAAATTGGCATTAAGGATCCGCCTACTTCGCTGCTACGTGTTCTTGGTCTTACTTTATGCTGTCGAGTCCTGGACTGTGAATAAAATCGATCTAAATCGCCTTGAGGCTTTCGAAATGTGGTGCTATAGAAGAATTTTAAAAGTTTCCTGGGTGGAGAAGATTCGTAACTCCACAATACTAGAACGTCTCAGCAAGACTACTGAGATCATAAAAAGCATCAAGCAGAGAAAGCTGGAATATTTCGGACATGTAATGAGAGGTCCCAAATATAGATTGCTACAAAACATCATGCAAGGAAAAATAGCAGGCAAACGCAGTCCAGGACGAAGAAGAACCTCATGGTTGAAGAACTTGCGAGACTGGTATGGTGTAGATACAAGCATGCTATTTAGGGTGGCAGTGAATAAAATTAAAATAGCTATGATAGTAACCAACGTTCTGAAAGGACATGGTACATGAAGAAGAAGAAGAATAGCGTCTTGTAGTAGGTTGTCTTATTAGAGACATTCACAGCTATATCCCCATCAAATTTTCAATTTCTACAGGACATGTAGTAATTGGCTTTTGTGGATTTGTTTAAGCGCTGTATATACAGATTTGTCGAACTACTTTAATTATAACATCTGGTGTCAAAAAAAAAAACTAAACAATTAGTAAGGTGAATTGAGCTGCAATATATTGGTTGGAAGTAATTCACTATCTACAAAATGCAGTTCATCTACATTTCGCACAGTTTTCGAAGGACTCCATCTCATAGACTTTTTTCGATTCGTAGGAAGTTCAGTATCCAACTCATCGGTTGATAAATCATCATCTTCATTATCAGTATCTTCTTGACTGTCAATGATTAGTCTAGCCCTGGTGATTTGTACAGTTAACGGCTCAACGCTATCTTCCTAAGATATTTCCGAATTTTTACTTTCAAAAGAAATCTGTCGTAACTTTGGGGCTAAATAATTTTTGTTTTATTGTTATAAAACGAGGTTGATGGAACACTCTCAAATTCATCGATTTTTTTCTGAAAAGAAAGTTTACTTCAGGTTTATTCAAATTAATTTATTTAAATCAATAATGCATTAAAGACGTCTACCAACTTCAATGGAGAGCTCTTGAACCACTTGAGATATGCAGACGATATAGTCCTGATAACAGATAAGAAGGAAGAGTTACAGAAGATGGAGGAACTAGATAGAAAAGCGACAGAGGTAGGTCTAGAGATGAACTATAGTAAAACAAAGACTATGACAAACCAAGAACACCAATTAGAAATAGTAGTCAAACAGAATAAATTAGAGCAGGTGGCAGAATACATATACCTAGGACAGATAATAAAGCTGAACAGAGACAATCAAACAGAAGAAATAAAAAGAAGAACTAGACTAGCATGAGCCTCATTTGGTAAACTATCATAAATTCTAAAAAATAAAAAGTTCCCTCAATATATGCGAACGAAAGTATTCAACCAGTGCATTTTACCACTTATCACATATGGCTCACAAACATGGACTTTCACAAAGGAGAACATCGACAGGATATCTAAAATACAAAGAGCAATGGAAAGACAGATGCTGGGTATCGATCTTAAAGACAGGAAAATAAACTCATGGATCAGAGAAAAAACAAACGATGTATCAAGACAGGTTGCAAAACTTAAATGGAACTTCGCCGGTCACACTCTCCGGCAAAAAGATGAAAAATGGAATAAACGAATTCTACACTGGAGACCATGGGAAAAGAAAAGAAAAAGAGGAAAACCACAAATGAGATGGACTGACGATCTTAAGAGAACGGCAGGAAAGGACTGGATACAGATCGCCCAAAATAGAGACCAATGAAGATTAACAGGGGAGGCCTATGCCCAAGAGTGGGCGTTTAAGGCTGATTAGATAGATAGATAGATAGATACCAACTTCCAAAAATCAAATTATATAATCTTTTCTTTTTTCAGTGTCAAAATTTACCTCTAGCGCATAATGTTCCTGTACGGGAACAGTAACAATGTGGGTCAAATAATAACAAAAACAAAGTAAATTTATTATTTTAATATATCAGCACCCTTACACACTTATAAACGCATATGTAATTTTTATTACTTAAACTTACCTTATTTTTATTCGAAAATTAAATACACGTGCTATACTAATAACCTATTCCGAGGTTACTTTAAACAAAACTGCTATTTATTCAAACAACCGATGGATATATCAGCAACACACAATACACATCTAACAACGAATGTGTCCAAGAGGGAATAAGATGTGCACGCGGTTTAAATTGTCGATAGTAAATACTCATGAAAATTTTAAATTTTTAGTTCCCATTTGGGTTCTTCATGCAATAGAGGGTTAATATTTGCAGCAGAATCGACCATTTAAATTTTAGTAATGATAGACTTTTTTAAGAGGTTTAGATTAAATAAACCGACAGTGATCTATATTCTGAGAATATATTGTAAATAAAACACAATGACGGTATTAGATTTTGATTCGATACAGAGCAGCGACAAGCCACATATACGTATTTCGACCTCTTTAGGTCTCCTCCAGTACAGTATAGCCACTACTCCGTATCGAACCAAAATATTTTCCCGTCGTAGACCATAGTTATTAAAAATAACTATGGTCTACGACGACAACTAATCAAAATGTAATACCTTCATTGTGTTTTATTTCTTTACTTCGTTTGGAGTACCAGAAATTGAATTCACTACGAATATTGGCCATGATGAACGGCATTTGGAGTGCAATTTTAGATTCCCTTGCCGATTTATTCATCAAGCTATTTGCTTCGCAATTTTTAGGAAGCACGGTGGCTGATATTTGAATTCGATTTCGCCAGGTAGAGATCGTATTATTTCTCTTTTTGTCTTTATATTGTAAATAGTTGGCAATAAAAGATTATAAAAGTAGGTATTCTACCTCTTTTTCTTCCCTAAGTTTAGTTTATAAAAGACATTTTTGAGGAGTTCACTAAACAATCCATGAAGAAAATCTCTATAATGAATTCCTTATTAAAAGCAGATATGTAACAGAACTTTTTATGTATGAAAGAGAAGGGTTAGGTACTATTTATACAACATTCAACATAATTTTTTTATTCGTTACTAAATTTTTCTTTAGATAATTTAATTTATTCCTGCCACCACAAATTGTATAATAAAAAAATGCGATTTCTTTAACTGTTAAAAAAGTTTAATATTTTAAAAATTTAATTTTTAATTCTTTTGAAACAGAGGGACCGCAGACGTTCGGATACAATTAGCGTCTCTTAGCAAAGACAATGACGTCGACTTTGCTAAGTATCAAGAAAATTACTCTACACACACACACACACACACACACACACACACACACACACACACACACACTACACTAGGTACCTGACTGTACAATGCCAATGATCATAGTTGTCGAGGCATTAACTCAATAATAATAATAATAATTCTTTTGAAAGTTTGTTGATCCTAAAATATTGGCTGCTTTGGTGATTCATAAAAAATGTAATACAAAACTTCAGCTTTCCCAACAAATGAATTGCCAAACTAGAACTACGCTGACTTTTGTACGTAGATCGACTTCCTAAGGTGACTTTACGCAGATGTTTAACGATTCTCTAAAAGTGACTTATTTGTTATGAAAGTTGTTCAACAAACTAAAATATCATGTTGTTTACGTCCTAGCCTTAAATAGAAAGAAGTCAGAAATAATTGTGGAGTGACTAGATGGCAATTGATTGAATCCCCCGTCGCAGGGTGACGGGCAAAATCACTAGTTCACTAATAAATATATAAATGTCTTTACCAATAGTATCAAACACAAACCTTACTACGAGCAAGTACGGTGTTGCCTAAGAAAAACCACATCGAATACCCAGATAATTTTCTACGAGGTAGTCTCGATTTCAGTTGTCTATAGGAGCTTCTTGGTTATACCTGTTCCCGCTTTGGTCTCGATCGTATAGCGCATTACTGGTATTTACACAGGTTTTTGGATTGTTTTTACACAGTTTCAGGGAGTTTTATACAGTTTAGGGATAAAAATAACTACCCACTATTGATGGGTAACTGTTCAGTGGAAAACGGAATCTTGAATTCTTCCAGTTACTTGTTGGTTAAGGTTATTGGGCCTTCCTGCGGTTTGAGTAACGAACTCAAGACTTACTTTCGCGACCAGCTGTCGCTGGGATCAAATTTTGCAAAAAAAGACAGGGACGTCGTCAGGTCATTTAGGTTTTAACCCTTTCGCTACGGGCCAAGTACCGGCTGCGCGTCGCTCATATACGACGCTGAGACAATTTTGCACTTTGCGATCGAGACGGCCACTCAGTAGTTTACATTCGTTATATTGAAGTGGTTGAATCATTTTGAATCATTATTTATATTCGTTTTATCGAAGTAGTGGAATTGTTGTTCGTAAAACATAAAAAAAAACGGTATTCAGAAAGTATGGCGCAAGGGTGTTTGATGTATGTACGGCATCGGTATGGTGTATTTCAAATCGCTACGTATATGAACCATACTAGTAAGCAAGATGGTCAATGTAGAATGTACTTTTATTATTATAGCTCTCCAAAGATGTAAGTACTTAATAGAACGGCGCTCGCTCATTAAAGCTGCAAATGAAAATCGTACTTTTACGGCAACAGTACCGAAAGGGTTAACAGTTGTCATTTATAAACAAGGAATTCCACAAGACTGAAGAAAGAAAACAACTTAATATCATAAACAAACCAGAAATACTCATAAAAAGGGAATCTTAGATGACAACAATACTATATATAAAGAGTTTTTTAGAAAAACTGAAGAGGATAGGAAATAAGTACAACATCACAACAACATTCAAAACAAACACCACACTGAGGTCCATCCTATCTAAAACCAAACACAACAACACAGAAGAAAGATAAAAAACTATTTCTATAAAATACCCTATGGATACAACAATTTCTACGTGGGAGAAACACCAAGACCACTTAATATCAGGATAAATGAGCATGAAACATAGATCAAGAACAGAGATTTCGAGAAATCGCATATATGCAAACATGTCTGGGACAACGAGCACAGACCACAATGGGAAGATACATCAATAATCATGAAAAAAAAAAAACAGATATGAAAAAGAGAAAAATCAAAGAAGCAGCCTTCATACAACAAGTCAACAATAATATATCAAGAATAGCCGAGTAGTAGGTCAAACGCACCGTTTACAATCTAATACATATGCAACACACAATTCACAAACATATAACATAGAACACATAAAAACAGTCAGAATTAGATATTCCTAGGGTAAAAATACTATCCTCAAAATGTGTTGTAGCCACTATTGGCTGTTGGCCTACAAGATCTGGGTCAAGCATGTCAACTTTGACATGGCAACCAATAACAAAAATCTTTGGTAATACATATTTTTACATAATTTGTACAAAAACCTTTTTTGAGAACAATTTCGGGAGTGAAAATCGAAACTCCAATATTAGTTAATCAAAAATGTGGTTTTCATCACCTGCAAATATGCTTGCTGTGCTTTTTAACTAATTAAAAAAATATTATACTTTATTAAAATAAATTTTGTCTTTTTAGGTATTTTAAATTGGATGAGATTGAAAAGAAAAGTGTGCATTTAGGTAAATACCCAGAGCTCATTCGCACTCAAGGCGACCATCCTGTAGTATTTTCTGCTTATGGATCACACGGGATGTGGGGATCCCCGGGAGTACAAGAATATGTTAAAGTGCCAAAATTAACAGACATGACGGGGTATGTATATTGTGCGACTAAATTTTGTCATATTTATTGGTAGATCAAAACATAATACAAAATTTAAACAAACACTTTATTTAAATATATACACCTGCCTCTACCTTACAGTAAGTAATGTACAAATTTGCTAAATGGGTTAATAACAAAAAAAAATGTATATACAAAATACCTAACTTGACCTGCTGTTTTCGTTCAATAGCTGCTGGTTGAAAAATTGCTAATAGGTGTGATATAAGGTCTCTTAGTAGTTTAACACACGGACGCGTACTGCACCATCTTTGGGATCGAGCCTGGTGGAATGGCAAAGCTAATCACTCGGTGGATTAGGTTTGGTGATGGACGAGTGCTACACCATCTTTGAGTTCGAGCATGGTTAAGTGGCAAAGCTAATCCCAGTATTTTTGTCCCATTATACTTGACCCAAGTTGCGATACGACGACAAACATTCAGATCGGAAATATCTGGTTGCTCATTATGAGCTGGATATATTATAGCTGAATTGTTGACGACGAAAAGGGCCTGTTCCCTTTGGAACGAGATATTTGATATAAATATTTGAAAGTTCTAAGAAGTTGGGATATTGATAAGAAAATTAAATGAATATATATAATCTTAAATGAAGATATATGTATGAATAAGTTTATATTAAGTTGAAATAAATAATATAAATCCGCAATTTGAAAATATGTCAAGTCAATTTTAGTATTTGGCACACCTCGCAGTAATAATAATTTTTTAACACAAATTTTTATGTATATAATATATATATATATATATATATATATTATTTGTAGTCTCAGCAATTGGTCTGTGTGAAATAAAACTCTATTTGTTATTTCTCAATATTTGGTAAATATTGAGAAATAACAAATAGAGTTTTATTTCACACAGACCAATTGCTGAGACTACAAATAATATTTAACACAGTACGGTCGAGAATAATTTGATAAATATATATATATATATATAATATATATATATATATATATAATATATATATATATATACATATATATATATATATATATATATATATATATATATAATATATATATATATATATATATATATATTTAGGCGGCACACGTCCTTCCAGTAGGGATCTATGAAGGAGTATCACCGAGACGCAAGCCCTTATCTCTTGCCGTACTGCACCACCATAGGCCGATTAGAGACCAGCATATTCTAGTCTAAGCCGCAGATTCATTTAGCACTTAAAACTGCTGCGTTAGCCGTTTTGTTTTCTCTACACCGAGCTGGGGAACTCACATCCGCTGAACCACTCGCAGTGAAGCGAATGAGATTCCGGTCGCCCAGCTTGCTTGGCTATTTAACCGACCAATTTTTATGTACCTAATTTTATTCTCAAAAATGTATATTTCAGGTATGGAACTCCGTGGAAGACTTGGAACAACGTTAAAATTTACCATATTGGACATGAAACACTACCTTCTTGGATGACATTCCGAGGGAGGTGGGGGAATCCGAAAAAGAGTTGTTTACTTATTAAGAAATTCGGTATTTGTGAGTATTCCGATGGACCTACTGGAATTGTTAGAAAGAAACAGGATTTTTACTGCTTTGTTAATGCATAGTATTATTAGAAAAAATAAAAAAAAATTAAAAACCAAATGATGTTGTTTATTTGAAATATTTAAATATAAACAAAAAATAATTGATATATATTATGGTAAAATATCTTCTTACTTACACTGACATAATTGCCATCTTTGAATGTAACTGAGAAACTCAAATCGACTGCCGAATAGCTTTCTCCATGCTCGTATGTACATAACTGATAATGAGAATAGCCGCTAGATGGGTCTGAAGTTGTTTTCTGGCGGTATGTTTATGTTAAATACTAATTTATATAGGAATAAACACTCCGTTATTTAATTTTTAATTTAAAAATTTTTTATAAATAATTTCCTCAATAAAAATCGATACAGAAATCTAAAATGGTAATTCTGATTAGAATCATTGGTACAATTCCATGTAAAATATTAATTTATAACTCGTTGATAAATGGCGCACTATTTCAGTTAGAATATATTTTTATTGTATTATTGAAACGTAACATAAAGCAAAACATCTATTAGAGCTTATTTGTGTAAAAAATTTAAGTAGTGTTGGATTATTTAAAAAAAATATCTTTGTATATATTTTATACCTACCAAAAAATAGAAAATTTCTTTTCTGTAACTTCATATCAAACCAAGCGATGGCAGCAGATATTAACACAAATTACTCTGACTTTATAATATAAATTATTTAGAAAATATATTAAGTATGTTCATGTATTAGCATATATAGACAATAAATAATTTTTTAGTTTCAATTTCTAATTTTTCAATATTCTAGTGAGTCTACTTTACTAAAGGCATGAATATGTTGAAATTCAGTCAAGGGTTGAACCAATAAATTTTCTAGTCCAATAAATTTTCTACTAGATAAATGTCGGTTAGGTGAACTTAAGCGTATGAAATAATATAATTTTCTCTACATTTTTGGTCAGTAAATTGTTGCAGTAATAAACTTTTTCTCGAAATATTGCCAAAGTTATTATATTTTACGAAAAAGAGATACACCAATTTTAATACCCAGAGGCGCCATCTTTCAGACAATATTAAAACCTTTCTGGCCTATTTTGCATTTGTGAAAGATATTCTTTTATTTACGTTAGAAGTAAAAGCTAATATAAATGTTTTCTAGAGAAATTACAATTATATTTTATGATAGTATTTAGAAAACAACGTAATTCTTAATTTTGTTTCTAATAAAGGTAAAGTCTTTTAATACATATGTTTTACTGTAGTTCGTCCTTTACTTAACAGATGTCACACGAAAAGAACAACTTCCATATTTATTATTCTAGATTATCATTTCAGGTAGACCACCTATAGACTTTGTTTTGATTTATAAATTTTACTTGAAATCTGAAAATGTACAATGCCGCATAATTGAGAGTTGGTTTTACCTGCGGTAATGAAAAAAAAATCTCACAGAATTATATACTATAGTGTAATAATACATTTTCAGATTCTGCCTAAACATGTGCAAGCTATCACTGTAACGAATTACTTATCATCGACTCCGGCCGCCAGCCATACGTACACCGAAAAAGGAACTTCTGTACTTCCTTTATTGACTACAAGAAAGCCTTTGACTGAGTGCGGCATGAATGTCTTACCCACTTGTTTTGGGCCTACAAGAGATCATTACATAGATTGGACAGTACTTTGAAAAATTCGTGAAAATCCAAAACAACCAAATTATGGTTGGAACCATAATTTTATTGTTAGACTGTTTCATATTTATTAATTATTACCCAATTAACTGCTGCGGACGAACTAAACGCATGTCTAACATCATCTAATTTATTGCGACATGTAAAGAGGCTTCAATTGAGAAATGCTTACCCAGAGATTTCTGTTTCTTCTTCTTCTTTTCTTCTTTAAGTTCCATCTTCTATCGAAGGTTGGAAATCATCATCGCTAGGCGGACCCTGTTGACTGCCGCTCTAAATAGTTCTGCACTGCTGCATTCAAACCATTCCCTCAAGTTCTTAAGCTACGATAGTCTTCGTCTTCCCACATTTCGCTTTCCTATAATTTTGTCTTACATAATAAGCTGCAATAATGAGTATCTTTGCCCTCTCATAATATGGCCTAAGGATTCAAGTTTTCTATCACTATTATTTTAGCTTTATTTCCTATTCTTCTAGTAACTTCTGCATTTGATATTCTTTGTGTCCACGATATTTGTAGGATTCTTCTGTAACACCAAAATCCAAAGACGGTCAACTTTTATAGATGCACTTGTTTTAATGTCCATGCTTCCAAGCCATAAAGGAGAATAGTGAATACATAACACCGAAGCATTCTTAGGCGTAGTCCTCATCTTATACCCCGACAACAAAGAAACTTTTTAAATTTAACGAATGATGCACGTGCTATATAATTTTATACGTGTCTTTATTATTTTGGTGTGGTCTACATGTGATGTTATCTATGTTTCTAAGTATTTGTAGGTATCAACACTCTAAATTAGGGTGTCCTCAACAATCAATTGGATGTTTGCATCTGCTGATTTAGTCATGATCATGCATATTTAGTTTTATTTTCAAATTCATCCTAAGTCCGTATTCATGACAGCATTAATTCGTTTCATTACATTCTGTAAATCATTGCTGTTATCCGTCATTATTACTGTATCGTCTGCAAAACGCAAGCTATTCAAAATTTCTTCTTGATATGACTTCTATTGGACCTGAGGGCGCTTCTTTAAATACCGCTTCATTGTAGATATTGAGGTTTAGTGGTGACAGCACACAACCTGGCGGACTCCTCTTTGTATTTTGATATCTCGATAGTTTTGGTTGTCAATTCTTACCTTGGCAGTTTTACTCCAATATTGATTAGATATAATTTTCATATCACGACTGTCAAAATTGTAACGTTTTTTATTTCTACACAATATTTCGATTATGATATTTGTCGGATATTCATTGTTTTTTTTTTAATAATAACTTTTCTAACTTTGTTAATTAAACTAATTCTTGGTCAAGTATGTAACGAATTTTCCACAGCGTTCAGATAATTTGAAGTTATCAAATACACAAGTTGTAAAACGAACTTATTTCTTTTATTTAATACCGTATATTCATTTTACCCCTTAAAATAATATTTATATTATTATCTCTTTCAGGTAGAACTTTTTATTTGATTGCATTAATTTATCGTTATATTTTATGTATATATTTCGTATTTTTAGTGTTTACCGCGGGATATAATTACTCTTTCCTACTCTTTTTGTTCCCGTCTAGTAACCATTTGTATCTTTCTTGTATTGCTTTTGTCTTGACCGTCTTCCCGTCAATATTTTATGTCTTGACTGTTGCTGCTCTTATCTAATTTTCTATCCATTCTCGCGTTTACAAAGTTTCCCAATTCCTTCAAAAATAGAGTGGTGCCCAAATGTTTAAAAAAAACATAAGA